CATGCCAAGTGCTGAGCCCAGTAAGTAGAAAAGCCAGATGGTTCCTATTATTATTGCTTTAGTATTTTCCCACAGAATTCGAGATCCTGTCAGATTTTTGGCTTAAACAGTGGAAACTTCCAGCACAGCCCAGTTTTTAAAAGCCTTGGCCCGGACCACAGGAGGCTTGGCATCCCACCCTGGCCCTGCCGGATCCCCTGCATGAGCTCGGCCAGCCCTTTCTGTTTTCTCAGGCACAGTGAGGCTCTGGATGAGAGGACAGAGGGCCCTCTTGGCCACCTGCAGCTTTCCAGGTCTGGGAATCCACGGTTTCAGACCTGTGGATCCAGACAGAGACACCTAGGGGCAGGCCGTGCCCATGGCACTCAGTCCCCAGGAGGGGTAGCTCCATCACACCGGCCTGGGTTCCCGCTCAGCCTGTATAAAAGTCACAGGGGAAGATGCCCAGGGTGGGACATCCATCCACCGGACAGCTTTTGTGGTGTTGTGAATACCCACTATGAGCTTAGCTGTGCCAGATGCTTCAGGAAGACCAGTCCCAGTTTCCAGGTGAGGAACTCCAAGCAACGTAAAACGGCACTGACTACAGTGCTGAGAGCTTCCTACCCACGAGACCCAGCCTCCAGCATGCCACCTGCAGCAGCTGACTCAATCCTTGAAACGGAGCTGGCAATGCAATCCCCCTTTTGCAGATGAGCAAAACGAGACCCAGAGAAGTGCAACGGATTGCCCAAGCAGAGATGCGGGCTGGGACTGACACCCACAGATCTTAGTGCCATCTCAGCGCAAGGCCAGGTTGCGTCCCACCCAGAAAGGCTAAACAGTCAGTTGCTAAGGTGGCAGAGCCAGGCATGAGAGTCAAAAATCCACACATATGGTGACAAAACAAGGAGCCAGTCACAGTCTCAGACAGGGACAGATGAAATTCTGGCGGGGGGAGGGACAGGAGGCGCAGAGGAAGAAGCAACCCTTTCCAGCAGGAGGCGCCATGAAGGAGGAGTAGGTTTGGGACACACAGGAGGACAAGGGGGTACATGGAAAGTCACTGCTGATGGCAGGAGCAGCACCGGCAAAGGCACGGAAAGGAGAGTTCAGCTGAGGGCGTGGATTTGTACAGACGCATTTACCAAACTGGGTTAGGCCACATGCTAATGGCAAACGCCTCTTGTTCCTATGTTCAGGGAACGCTGCAGCAACACGTCCTACTTGGGACTCGACAGCACAGGATCCTCTGGGGCGACCCAGGGACCCCTGGTTGGGAAGCTGGCAAAGCTCTGGTGTGCAGGGAGGAAGTCTGGTTCCCCAGCAGCCCCCCAAGGGGTCAGCCTGTTGGAAAACACATGGCTGGAAATCAGGCCCGGCAGGGAGGACGCCCAGACCTTGCTGCGGTATTTTTGTTTTTTAAAGAAAACTTGGACCCACTCAATGGCTTTGAGCTGGGGAGTGACATGATCTGAGTTGTGTTGACAGGCCAGATATTCAAGCGCCTTTAAGAAGGGGGGGAACCTTCCGTCAGTCCAACACTACAAATAAGAAAATAACCTGTCGCACGGAGCCCCTGGAAGCCGCGCGCGTGTGGGATCCGTACGACACTTTTAGACTCCCTTCCTCTCGAACACCCCCTCGCCATCTGTCGGAAAGGGCACCAGGAAGATGCAGGGAGGAAGATTCCAGCTCTGGGGGCTCCAGAGCCCAGCAGCCTGGGGGTGGGGCTCTCACGGGAGCCACACCACTCCCTGTGCGCTGTCATCTGTGAGGAGCATGGGGTGTCAGAGGCTCCACGCTGGGCGGGCGTCCTCAGAAACGCCCGTGACTCGTGACTCAGTCAAGAACGTCTGCCCAAAGGAGGAACTCTCCCACCTTGGCCCAAAGGGGAGCATCTTTTCAATTCCTTTCCAGCTCACACCAAAGACTCCAGAGGGAGTTATGGACGGGCTTCCCACGGAGGCTACCCAGTGGGAGGGCTGACCCCTAGAGTCCAGGCTCATTCTACCACGCGCTCCTGGGACACGTGACTTCCCCGGTTCTGGACTTGATTTTCCTCACCTGCACAATGGGGATAAGAGTCAACCCATGGGATGCTGAGGAGATTATGCAGATCCTGCACACAGCCTGGACTGCAGCTAAATAACGAATGGACATGGTGCTCTTGCCTGCTCCCACACATGGTTCACACCAGCCCCTCACATGTGCAAACGACAGCAAGCCCGGGAATGAGTCACACGAGTCTCCACGGGGCTGGTAAAGGAATAATTAATGGCCAGAGAGTACCCAGAGAACATCAAGGCTTTAAAGGACCTTCCAAAAGCCTGGGTAATTCAGGCCAGAGCCCCCCACCCCACCCCCCTCTCTTCTTACGAAAGAGGAAGTGAGATTAACTTTGCCATTTAGGAAAGTACAGATGCGCCACCCTCTACCAAAGGGTCCGAGGTCAACGGCAGGCCCAGCTGCCCCCACGGCCTGAACCCCAGCTTGGTTCCGCCTCCTCTAGGCCAGAGCAAAGGAGTGAACGGAACTTCAGCTGAGGTCTGCCTGGAGGTGGCAGAGGGGTCCCAAGGCCTAGGTGGGGCCAAGCAAGCCTCCTGCGGGTTCAGCACCAGGCCCTGCTGCCACGGGTGTCCACAAGACCCAGCCCCTTGCCCTTCTCCCAGTCTCCGAAGTTCCCCCAGTGCAGTTGTTTCAGGAAGCAGGCCTCACACTGGCTCCAAAAACACAGGTTGGTGACTTCACTGGTATCTTTTTAGAATATCCCTTTGGCAGCGTTTGCGCTAAAGGCAAGCTTTAGAAAGTTCTCCTCTAGCCTCCCCCGACTGAACGCACGCACGTGACCAGCCCCACTCCCCGCAAATAGTGATCATGTGAAGCCACGGCAATCATGTGACACCTCCCAGGCTGACAGTCCTGCCCGAGACACTAGTAGTCATTCGATCCAAAGCCGTCTTCCTGAGCCTGACATTTGAGTTTCTCACTCGAACAAATCCATTTTCTTAGAAAATTGGACAACTGCCTCTTTCTACCTTCCTGCCCTGGTATCCCGTCTCTCTTCTGCTTTGCCGTAAATTCCACGTCTGGAGCAACAGAGGGAGGGGCCTGAAGCCCCATCCTTTGGCCAAACGAGGTGAATGCCACGCCTGGGCCCAGGATGTGGTCAGGACCCCGCAGAACACAAAGTGAAGTGAAGGCTCCTGGGAGGCTCGAGCTACGATGGTCACACCCTGTCCCTTCCCCACCGACCTCAACCAAGAAATCCATCCCTACCTCCTGAGATTTATTTATTTCAAAGCTCATCTTGGCCCCTCTGCTGCTCCCACTTTTTCAGGCTATTGATGCTGAATGGATTGGAACGGAAGTTTTATGGCCCAATCTTTACCATTTTATAGATTGTTTTTATAGGCAAAAGGGAGAGATTTGCTCACAAGAAAGGTGTTGGTGTTCCCAGCCAGTGCCCCTGGAAAGGCAGGCTGCCCATCCGAATACTTGTTAATCAGCGTCACCGCTCATTGGCCAGGGACTGAACCACAGGCTCCTGGTCAGAGAAGGGTCTGGAACAAACATTTAGAAATTAACTTGGGCCCAGTTCCCTGCTTCAGGAAAATCAAGCACTTGTGAGCGATGCTTATTCATTTCCAAGCCAGGAAGGATGGCAGGGCAGGAACTTGGACTTATGCAGGGTACGAATGGCCAGCTCGGGCAGGAAGGAGCAGATCGGAGATGCCACTCACCAGAAACATGAAATTGATCAGTACTTCCTTCCGCCCAGCAAGGACCCAACTGTAACTGAAAAGAACTAGGGGTAGGGTGGGGTGGGGAGATGCCCACGTGGATCCCTGGGTTTCAGGAGAAACTGCCGGCCAGGGAGAAGCTGCCGTCCACCCCCCTTCTCTTTCCACCCACTCTGCTAGATCTTCTCCCTTTCTCCCTGCCATCAGATGGTTACCAGTCTCCAGGCAAATGCAAAACAGGAGGGGGATGGATACTGAGCTCATCCTCACCTCCCTCCTCAAGGGGGGAGCGGTGCAGAGACCCCTCTCCCCACAGCGTAGCTTCAGGAGGCCAAAACACAAGCTCCCCATTCTACCTCCCCCCCTTCCACGCCATTTCTCTGCCCCCACGCCCTCCCGGGAGACCCATGGTTTTGCAAAACCCCTTTAAGAAGCAGGACTCCTGAATGGTGACCTCACCCCTTGGCGAACACACACCATAGCCTTCAGAACCCGCCTGCCGGCGACAGCCAGGTGTTTGATGTAGGCCAACAGAAAGACATGCTCAGAGCCACAGGTAACATCCTCACAGACACCTGAACTGCAGGGGGCTGCTGGCAGCACCGGGAAGGCTGGAAGAAGTGGGGAGTCAGCCAGGGAAAGGCTCTGACAACCACAGGGAGATCCGCTGTGTTTCCACAGAAGGATCTGTTGATCGCAGCGGCTCGCCGGTTACCGCGGCCTCCCCGTCCCCCCTCTCCCATACACACAGTAACACGGTTCGCTCTGCGCACCAGAGAGCTCACACTTCCCCAACTGCAAACAGCCTGTCTCCGTGGCATGCCAGGCGGCATTGGGAAGACCTCTGCCCTCTTCCCTCTCAGCCCTCCTCGGACCCGAAGTCAAACATGCGGAAAGCATTAAGTCTGGGGAGACAGCTTCTAGGGAAGCCAGGGAGCCCTGTTTCAAAAGCCACTGTCAGCCTGCCTCCCCCGTCGGACCGGGCAGAGGCTGAGTGGACCAACTCATCTCCTTTGTCCCAGTGCCCAGCAGAGTGCAGGTAGCCAAAGCCCACTGACACAGACTCTCCGAGGAGGAGACCCAGGTTCCATCCTTGGCTGTGTGACCTTGGGCATGTCGCTGGCCCTCTCTGGGCCTCAGTTTTTACATCTGTAACCCTGGCTACAGGCATCTCTCCCCCATCACTGCTGCACATGAGCCGAATGGATCCCTGTGGCAGTCTGGGAGGTCTGAGCCGGCAGTCTGGGGCGGAGAGCGGTGGGGAGTAGGGGTGCTTACCTGACCAGGCGCAGGTCGCGGCGAGCAGCAGGCAGAGCAGCGGCCCGAGGCGGCCGGGGACGGGGCCGGCGGGCTCCATGGGCCGCGGCTGCGGGGCGAGGAGGGAGAGCGGCCGTGAGTGCGCACTCAGGCGGGCGCAGGCTGGAGCGGGGAAATGACTAAGGCTCCCCCCA